CAAAATCTCTCTCTCTCTCTCTCTCTCTCTCTCTCTCTGTGTGTGTGTGTGTGTGTGTGTGTGTGTCTGTCTGTCTATCTATCTATCTTCTGATGTTATCTAGTTAAAGTAATGAAAAGTCTGCAAGAAAATAAGCAAGCTCAGAGAGCACCAAGGACCCCTTATTTTGCCATCTATTTATTATCTATCTCTGTCTACTTACCTATCTACCTATCTATCTGAAATACAATTAAAATCTGATGATACTTCACACATTATTGTCAAATACTTAATGCTATGTTAATATATTACTTATTTAGCACCTAAATACTATCCTAGCAAGATTCATCTGGAAAGATAGCTGGAAATTTATTCCCTATCTATTTTATTATTGTACAGCAATCCTTTAGAGCTGCTTTTTCTCATAAAAAGAAGATGCACCCAATACACCAGTCAGAAAGACATCAGCATGCTAAGATGTCCTTACCAGGCAATTAAAGACAAGTCTAAGCTTATTCTAAGTATCTCCTGTTGAAACAGTTAATTAGCATGATAAAATCCCATCTTGTGTCATGCTTATTGATGGTTCCCTTGTGGATATTTATGACAGAAAATAAATGGTAATTTACTTTTATGAATACTAAAGATAATTAAAAATACAAAAACTGATTTGACCTTATGCACAATTAGGTCCTTGTGCAATAAAACTCAAAAAGAAAAAAAAAGCCACTACAACAACACAGCTAACAATTGTAAAGAGATCAGAAGAACAGAAGAAAACACAACTCAATATTTTTTATTGGGCCATCTCTAATGCATAATATGAACAAAACAAAACAACATTCCATTATTATTAAACTTCAGTGCATTAGCATTGAAAATCTGTCTCCACAGATGCAAATCCGTGTAACTAAATTCCGTGAAACTGAATTTTGGAGCTTTTCTTTTTCTTTTTCTTTTGGTAGGAGTGATTTACAGGATAACTTTTGAATACCAACTCCTTGTGTATGTATCTGCTTAGTTGTAATTTAACTCAATTTCTGCTCTAAATTGTACTTTAGGCATCAAACTACTTAGTTTGATTTAAACATTTACCACTAAGTTATGATACTCAGTATTATGAAATCACAGGACATTGCACATAAGTATTTGCAAACATAAGACAAGTACTACTTCACTAAGAACTAAACTTTTTCAAAACTTAGATGTAACCCTAGATATGAGTGCATAGGACTGATATATACAATAGCAATTCTAAACATATATTGAATATATTTATTCATTTCAAAAGCAAAAAGCGATTTCAGTATTACGCAAATTTTCAAGGAATAAAGCTTTATATTATGCAATTCAAGTGTCTGGTATACAGACACAATCAGTAAAAATGAATTCTAGCTTTTTTTTTTTAAAAAAAAAAGTGATATTACCTTTAATGTATTCACATTTGTAGATTAATATTTTTTTTCCATTTGCAAAGCACACTTGTTTCAATTCTATTTCATTGTTTTCATTATATAACAAAAGAATAAATGAAGGAAAGCCAGCCATGTAGGGAAAGAAAAATCCAGAATCGCGTTCTGAAGGAACATAAACTACCAATACATAAAATGTCACATTCATATTACTCATTTTCTTCAAGTTATGAACAGAATAATGGAAATCAAAATTAGTACCTTACCTGTTGTCATGCACTGGAGCAACAACAGCCAGTGCTCTTGATGGCCATTGTAACAGAAATTTTGTTATGACTGTTATTCTTTTCTTTTTTATAAATGATGATTCTGGCTACTCTTTAATAGCACAGATCATATGTTACAATCTCAATTAATAAAGTGACTGCATTATCTGATACTAAAATCCCTTGCCTGAAGGTTATTTATGGCATATGCATTACTGAGTATGCCTTTTTCCTAATGTAGAGAAATGGGGAGAAAATGATCAAAGATCAAAATGGCAGCTGTTCTCTGAGGCTTTTCTAATATTTTCCCACAGTGAATTAAAAAATATTCATCTTAGCCATTTTATCTACACGTCAAAGGGGTTTTTTTTTAAACCAGATGAATATTGAATATACAATTAATATTTCAAGATTAGCCTCCCTCGTGTGAATCTATTTCTATTGAATAATGGAGACCAAGGGCATTCAACAATGAAACAAGTATGTCCATGGATCCAAGTGACTAAACAGACATATTTAAAAAAAATTCAAGCTGGCTGAAAAACAATACATGCAAGATGGTCCTTGACTTACAATCATTCATTTAATCACTGTTTGAAAAAAGTGGCTTATGAGTTTTTCCACACTTGAAACTACTGCAGCATCCCTGTGGTCACATTATCAAAATTTGAACCCTTGGGTAACTGGCATTTCTTTATGACAGTTGCAGTGTCCTGGCATCATGCGATCACCTTTTTCAATCTTCTGATAAGCAAAGTCAATGGGGAAGCCAGTTTCACTTAACAACCATGTAACTAACTTAACAAACCCAGTAATTCATTTAACAACTGTGGCAAGAAATGTCATAAAAATGGGGCAAAACTCACTTAGCAACTGTCTTGTTTAGCAAATATTGGGCTCAAATGTGTATATCAAGGACTATCTGTATAGAATCTTTGCATAGAAAGGACATTTAAATAAGTATGAATCATTTACACTATTTAATTACGAACAAAACATTTATGAAGATAGTTATTTGATCAAAATGTTTGATTGAAAGAGTATTTTGTCACGTTGCTTCGTACTTAAGTGAGGTGAACAGTCATACAAATCAAACAAATTGAATCGATCAATAAAAATAAAATCTTTTTTACATTTTTCAAACTTTTATTGGGGATTTTCATCTGAGGAAAAAAATTTGTTTCCAAATTTTAGTTTCAATCCCTATATTATAATAATAGTTTTCCTATTTCATACATATTCACATAATTTACACTTTCATGCTTCTAATGTCTACCAGAGCCTCCCAGACTATTGGTCTATAATTCCTAGAATACCTACCAAGCATGTTCGCTGTTAGTCTATTAAAATAGTACCCTAATCCAGCCTGTGGCAGGAACAAAAAACACTAATTTTAGTTTCAAACATACAGGTCAACTGCATCATATGGACAGAGTTAAAGGAACAGTAATCTTCTCTTCTTGTTGCTGAAATCAAAATGGCCACAACCGAAGTTTTAGAGCAGCTCTCCAAAACTGATGTTTTTTTTAAAGACTCCATCTCTGTGTTCTTTTTATCTTTCTTAGCATCCCACCAACACGATCATATGGAATGCAAAGGGTGCTGGGATGTATAAATCCATAAAGATTTGACAAAAATTGCATCACAATGGGGTTCTTTTAAAAAATTATTTCAATTTTGGGAAAGAGGACAGGAAAAAACAGGACTGCCAGACTCCCATCACTGTTTATAGTGGCCAGAAAAATTTCAAAAAGGAACATTGGATCATCTATGAATATGTATTATCAGAACACAGAATTATGTCAGCTGCCTAAAAAAAAAATGGCAGTCACAGAAATTTTATTTATTTCTTTATTCATATATTCAATTTCTATAGCTGCCCATCTCAAACATCTCTGGATGGCAAAAATAATCAAATAATTAAAAGGAATTACAATTTCCAATTGTGCAAATAGAATTCTTAATACATATCATTCAAGATGTTTGATTTAGTATAACGTATAATATAATGGAATCGTGTCTTGCTATCCACCCTTTTCATAACTAGAACGATGTGGAATTCTTCCATATCGTTCCAGTAAAATTAAGTGTGCAGAAATAAGCACAGAATTGCATCCTAAAGTCTTTTGTTAACTGTATTTTCTCTAATCTTAGCACTAGGCTACTAGGAGATTTCCATTATCCTGAAAATTCTTCCACTAATGGATAAAAATAAATAATATAGTAGTATAGAAGAAACTATGTAAATAATGTGTATTAATGTAGTTTCCGTTTTGTTTGGTTTATATAACTGTGTTTGTTTAGCATAAAAATACCAGATCTGCAGAAAGAGTGCCTTTGCAGCTTGCTTAAAAAATGGTTTTAGACATTCCTCATTATGTTTTGCTCTGCCATTTCTACATGGCACTTCATGCAATGTCTTTTTGGGCAATTCTAATACATGTAAATGAGAGTCTATCTTAGGAAAACAATTATACTGACCACAATAAAAACATTATATCATGGCTGGAATTGCATTATTTGCTGTTGCAGTTTCCCAATCCATGCAAAAGTTTTCCTAATACTAATTATTTCCTGTTGTGGTAATAGTAATTAATTACTATAAAATAGTAATTATTTCCTATGGTAATTACTGTAAAACTAGTAATTATTTTCCATGGCAATTCTTTTGCCTCAAATGGTGCCAGAGTCATGGAAAAATCTGAGGGTTTTTTTTATCATATTAAGTCCTAACTTCTATTGGTATTATAATTTTAATTTTTAAATACTAGTTTTATTCTGTTAGCAAACTTTCTTCAAAACTGTTTCCAAAAACCTTCACCTATCTGAAATAAAGATTCACTCAATTATGGTATTGCCCACCTAAGAACATGATTTGCTTCTTCTATATGTATATTTTTAAGTGACTATTTAAAAAAGTATCAGATGAAGCAGTCACCATTATGACCTAAATTATATACTTTTCAAAACAAAATTTATAGTAGAAAAGAGTATACAGTACCTGTGATTTCTATGCAGTATCAAGACTGCCTTTAAGAATATTTCCCAAGACAGCAGAAAGCTACTGAAATATGTTTTCAATTCTTCCTGTTCCCTGGACACTTTTCTGTGAAGCCAGGGAATAAAATAATTCATTTGCCCCTAGAGAAAATCTCTCTCAGACACATACATCACTTAGAAATAATACAAAATGCACACTATTTCAACATCTAGTAAGTTCTTGTTACCAATACATTTTTAATGAAAAGAAGGAATAGTTTATAAAACATCAAATAAATACTGTTAATTTCTTTTAAATAGACATATATAGAAAGAACAAAATGAAACTTGAGGGAAAACTTACTGGCGTTACAGTTTATCCTGATACAGTCTAGATGGGGAAAAATAAATGAAAGATGAAATTGCATCCTTCAAGGTAACAGCTGCAGACATCCAAAAACAATCAGTCCACCCTTCCGGGGACAGACACACGCAAAAAAATGTGGCCATTTTATAATTATGTACATTCTATAGAAGTACAGGACTGTCTCTGTACTTATATACTACAAAAGTCTCAGATCCATAAACTATTCCCATTTCCCTGCTTCTGTTTACGTGTCTGTTTGTGTGTGTGTGTGTGTGTGTGTGTGTGTCTCTGTGTGTGTGTGTGTGTGTCAGTGTACACATGTGAGACTGCTTGCAGAAAAGAATTATAAATTATATACCTTTCCTGTTTTTAAGAAAAAAATGTTATTTTGAAAAATAGTTAAGTGATTGTAATCAAAATCTAGGTAACATAGTTTACATGTTATTAAAGCACAGGCATTTTCCCATAAGATGCAAGGCTTTCTCCCAAATGGTATGTATTTTTAGTCCTTTTAGAATATTTTTATACATTTGGATGCTTAAAAACAAATTCTACAATGTTTCATTTGAATGGTTAGTGTATCTATATAAATGCATTCCTGGATTTAGCTTGTAAATATTTAGTAATGCAATATTTAGCCCTTTCAATGTGTACTCATTTCCTGTGCAATAACTTAAAATGTTTTGCAGAAAAAATGTATATTGCCAAAACTTTTCATGCTGCAGAAAGGGATAACATATTGCTCCTTGTCACCATAAAATGGCCACTTGCAAACTGCTAACCGCACGAACGCCCAGCCCAGATTTCTGCATTTTGGAGGGTTCATATTTTTTATTGGTTGGAGAGAGTTGATACAAAAACAGCCAGCCAGCCCTTCAGAGCCCTGTTTCACCTTGCTGCCTGAATATTAGAATTAAATGAAGCATCTACAACATTCTGGAAGAAGATGAAATAGGCAGTGCAGTGGCAGATCTGATTATCTTTGACAACCCCCTGCGCTTCACTCATATGTTTCAGAAACTACAAGTGGGAGAAACCATAAACAATTAAAAAAGACTACAGTGACACATGTATTTATTTGTGCCTGTTAAATATTCATTAATATCCTAACAAAAAAGTAGAATTTCAGCTGAGTTATTTTGATCACTCATAGAGTCTTCTGAGCAAAACATAAGCTTCAAATACTTGATCACAAGATTAGAAGCATGATACCTACATTAATTCTTAGATTGACAACATATTATTTGAAAAAAGTGTTGCAACATGTAGCCTATGTAAACCTGTGACAAACTGTTCCTCACAGTTAATGCTAAGATCCACTTCTCCATATATTCAACAATATCATGTTAAAAAGATTCCACTGTTCATTGGCCAAAAAGCTGGTCAATCAAGGTTGACCTCTGGCTCAACTAAAATATTTAAAGCTATCTATGCTAAATTTAGAGGTATTTTTCCCAAATAAAATTAGAAAAGGAACATGTCTAATTAATATCATAAAATTAATATTTATAAAAGAGGGGCAGTAAACAAAAAAAAACTGAGTGATTGGGAAAAAGAAAATATCCAGAAGTAATGATGCCACAGAGTGTATTTTCCAGCATATCTTCTCTTAAGAAAATATGGGTTTGGTTTCGTGCGATTAGGTTTGTCATGTGTCGTCAACCGCAACAGAAAAGTGGGAGCAAACAGCCCTTGAGCATTTAGTACGATCACCATACAGGAGTGGCTATATCCCTTTTTTAGATGTGTGCTGGTAAGTGCAATAAGGGAAAAAGATTTCCCGATACTGAGTGCCAAGAGGATTTAAAGAAGGAGAGAGAGAGAATGACAAAACACTAGAAATCTTATCTGAAAAACTGATTATACTTGAGAGATGTAAAATAGAATGTAGATTGGATTATATTCTCTTTTAGGTTTCATCCCTAATGTAGATGGTAAATGTATTTACATTTTAGAAGCTTAGACTGTCACAATTCTGAGATACTTAAAGCTTTATCCTACTTCTGAACACCTACATTTATAAACCCAGTCCTTGGGATTTGCTTATCATTAATTTTTACTGGCATTTTTAATATTTGTTTTTATGTGAGCAAACTCATCTTCTGTGGGGTTCTGCAACTGATTAACCCTGGGATTCAGGTATTGTTAATCCCAAGAAAAGATTGTGAGAGTGCAGTTGTAGCTTTAGGATTACCACCAATGCTACAACCAGGTTTTCTCATAGTATCTATGGCTCGCTCTCCACACTCCTATTTACCATCTACATTAGGGATGACACTGTGCCCACCCCATTGCCGGCAATGGGGAAAAAGCTCCGATACGTCACACGACGTCACATGACGTCGTGAGTTTGACATGTCTGATCTACATGAAGCTGCTAGATGAGGTCATCTGTTATCAAGGAATATGCTGATGATACTCAGATTTATATCTCTACCCTGGCTGATCAAGTGGTGCCATGGAGCATCTGTCTTGACATTTGTAGCCTTTGGGGTGTTGGATAGGATAGAATAAGCTTTTGTTCAATTATGAGAAAGCCGAATAGTTCTGGGATTTAGGACTTCTGGGGACTCCGTCTCTTGTTCTAGGTGGGATTACAGTGTATTACACACACTTTAGTGTGAGGAATAGGTGGCAGCCTTAGCCAAGAGAACTTTTACACAACTTTGTGTGGTACACTTTGTTAAACTAAGAGGCTCTGTTCATAGTTTTCATGCCTTAGTCACCTCCCAAGTGAACTACCGTAATACAGTTTATATGGGTCTGCCCTTAAAGAACATTTGGAAGCTGCAGCTGATTGAAAATTGCAGTGTGGGCGATTAAAAGTCTTTCTCTGTCCCTTCATTTTACTTCTTTGCTTCATGAGCTGCCTTGATTACCAGTATTCTTCTAAATGAAATTGAAGGTGTTTATGGTCACTTATCAATCCCTTCATGGAATGGGACCAGGTTATCTATCTACCTCCCCTATCACTTCTATCTTAGATGCAGAAGGAGAAGCAAACTATGGATCACATGAATCAAGGAATACTTTCATACAGGATCCAGGATTTTCTATCTTGGTGCCTGATCTTTGGAACATCATTCCCCAAGAGAATTAGATTAGAATATATCAGCCTTTCACGAGACACTGAAGACATGTTTAAGTTTCTGAGCATGGGAGCTGAATTATTGGTTAGAACCCGTGAGATAGTTAATCTTGCTGCCTGTTGTGTATCTTATTTTCTTGTTGTTTTTGTATTTTAACTTGTTGGCCACTTAAAATCACCATTTGGTTATGTAAATTAAATAAGTAAACAGATATATGATCAATCAATAGCTGGATGCTTATTTGGCCCTGTCTGCCTACTACAAAACAATCAATAAGGGATGGAGACATTGAGTGACTTTTAAAGATGAGACTTTGACATAGTGCAGTTCCAATCTGATAAAGAAGAAGACTGAGAAGGAGAAGCACTGGTTTAGTGTGATTGGCCATGTTCTAACTCTTAGCATATGCTAGTCATGGATGGGACTGTGACTCATTGAATTTTCTCTCTCTATCTCTTTGTTTCTCTGTCTCTCTGTCTTTCTCTCTGCCTGTCTCTCTGTCTGTCTCTCTCTCTGCTCTCTCTGTCTCTCTCTTTCTTTCCTCTCTATCTTCTCAACAGTAGTGTTAGAAATATCACATAAAGGCTTATAATTTTTCCAGAGCTTAATGTGTTGCCAGAGAATATGATCTTCGAACTATCCCTCAAGAAAAAATTACAGTTTTCTTAAAGAAGTAGTCTTAACATATGAGAGTCTCTTCCCTCCCTCCTTCCTCAGTCAAATCAACCACATTCTCCTTGCTGATTATTTTTTGCTAAATAGAGCTGTAATGGAAAGAGGGATATCGCAGCCCTTGCAGGTTTTTCTGTACACTCTGTTCGAAGGGCTGTTTGCTGTGCGGGCCGCAGGCTTCAGGCCTTTGAAGGGTTGAATACCATCTTTTGATATACCATGACTGATGGGACATAAAGAAGTTTTTACAACGTTGATACACAGTATGAAAAAGATCACAGAAAAAAAGATTAGAAACATGAAAGGAAATTAAGAAGAAAAGCTGAGGGGGAGGGCAAGCAAAATAATGTTTGCTACCATTCAAAACAGACTTTGCCATTATGCATTTCTGGCAAGAAAAAATGGTCCAGATTCCCATTGTAAAGTACTCTAAATCAACAATATCTTTATAAATTGCTATTTTCATCAGATGTTATCAAATGTAGAATTTTTACTGATAAGCAAGGCTTAGATGTTGGCTCACTTAATGCAATAACATTTCAGAACTCACATTGTCATTAAGATTTGAAGAAATCTTTCCTGGACTCCTTCAACTTGAAATGAATTTCTAAAACAATATTTTATATTTGACTTCTATGTCATACTTTTGGGAAGGGAAGGGTAAGTTCACTTCTGAAAAGATTTCACACCTTTCTTGCTTCATAACTAACCTTCTGTTCTGAAATATACATGCCTGCAATAAAGTTGTAGAGATACTGCAGTGACTCCATGCAAAGCATAGCTGATGTGATATTTGGGCTTACTAAAATTTCTTTTGCTTACTAAAGGGCAGATAGGACTTCATTTTGGGGCCTAACATGAGTCATAAATCTTTAAAAAAAACCATGTTAGACTTATTACCTGCATTTCAAATAAGTAATTGTTTATGAAAAAGCTTAAATAATAGTTCCCAGAGAATATGTATATGATACATGTCCTAGAGGGAAGAAAAATGTCTCTGCTAAAGGGAACATTCTTTATCTTATGTGGTTACTAATGCTAGATACAAATAATCATTTCAGAATTGATAGAAACTGTTCGAGAAATAGTCAAACTGTTTTCTTATGGGCTCTACTATTCATTCGTTCATTCATTTCCTACCTTTATTATTTTTACAAATAACTCAAGGCAGTGAACATATCCATATATCTTCCTCTCCTATTTTCTCCACAACAACCACCTTGTGAATGGGTTGGGCTGAGAGATAATGGTTGGTCTGAAGTCACCCAGGTGGCTTCCATGGCTAAGACAGGACTTGAACTCATGGTCTCCTGCTTTCTAGCCTGGTGCCTTAACCTCTAGATCAAACAATCCCTTGTGCATCTGGTTGTAGGAAAGTTTTTAAATAAGACTTTCCTGCTCATATTCCAGTTCTGCTCTTCCATTGTAACATATAAATGAGTGGAATAATATAAAAGTTTTTCCAAGCAATGTATGATACATACTTGGAAGGTCATGGGCCTCAAAGCACCCCATCTTGATATTTTGTACTTAGATGTTTTGGAAAATCAGAGGTACTAAGTCATAAATCCAACATCAGAAAAGCTGACAGAAATTCTGAGGCTATAACACAGTTTTTCAAGTAAACACTGCAGAATGTGAAGCAGTAACACCAGCTAGAACTCTTGGTTTCTTTTTAAAGCAGAGAACTACAAGAGAACAAAAGGTGAACATTTTAGCCTTTTGGAATATTAACTATATCATGTCTCACTGTCTCTTCTTTATAGTGATCCATTTTTGAGCAGCAAATAAAACCATTTATTTTGCAGGAAACTAATTCTATGAAATTCCTCAAATTAAAATCTTGAAGGTAAAAAATAACCAATTGAAACAATATTGTACCAGAGGAAAGAGAAGAGATCTCTATCCCAAATTCTTCCATTCCCCTTGAGTTAAGAACACTGAATGAAAAGATAACAACTCTATCTAAGAGGTCTAACAGAAATGCATTTCTATTGGACTTTCTGAAGACAGGACTGGGCAAAAGAAGATTTCTGGATATTTCCTCAAATGAATTAACTTATATTTATTTATAAGTTACTTTCTGTTGGTGATTTTTTGAAATGGGCACATTTTTAAGCCTGAAATTAAAGATTAATCTTGTTCTTAATCTCAGAGGGCAGCATAGATGACACCCGTATGTTTGATATATAAAATCCTAGCTTGTTAAAAGATAGCAATTTCACCTATAGCTCTATCATTGCCATCATAACTTATTTTTGACTATTTTGAATAGTAGCAGAGAGGCTGGTTCAATGAGGATGTGGTTGATCAAAAGATGGACCAAACAGCATGTCTTATACAAAACTAACCAGTTTAAGAACAAGAAAGGAAGCTTTAAAAAAGACTTAAAAACAAAACACATTATCCATAACCAGGAAGCAACATAAAATCTGCATGCAGGGATGGCTGGAGAAGTTCTCCATGATTAATATTGTTACAAAAAATACTTTAGCAGAGTTATAATTCAACTCAACCAGATCAAAGGTGGGGGAGGATGGAAGGGAGACAGACAAGAAAACAAAACAAGCTGAAATTAAAAGCCAAGTGATTGGGGGGGGGGACTTTGCCACAATACCTAGATTGACCATGAGTTTAACCCGGCCTCCATCTAGCTCAAGCCGTAATGTATCAGCTGAATCACGTGATGTTGTGGCCATCAGTAGACCATATGCACGCTGGGACATGAAGCGGAAGGACACATCCTCAGCCTCTGTATGCATGACCATAGGCATAACAATTTTCATATACATGCTGCCATCATAACTCAGGACAGAGGCCTCTGAAGAAAAGAAAAAGATCAATACAACAAATTACAATAATGTTAGGCATTTCAAATCTTGGAGGATTACTAATTATTTAATACTTTTAGATACATTATTTAATTATTGCATGAAAGTGATTCAGATTTTCAGCATTATTATTTCATTGTATTATTCAAATAACAAAAGTTCCCTGGGTATTGTATATTCAGTTGAAAATATTAAGAGTAAAATTACCTCAGAACAGTAGAAAAATAACAGTATAAAATTTTATTAGAGAAAAGGTAATACCAGTGACTACATGGCAATCAATACAGAAACATAATGTAATTCCCCTTGAAGCAATCTACATTGTTTTATTGGCAGAATTCCTTGAAAAGGGCATCACATTAAGATCTTAGTAACATGATACATTAACTTGAGTAGAGAATGTTTTCAGATATCATGGTTTCATAATATTTATTTATGTAGCAATTGCTAACTTTATTTTAATTGATTAATTGACTAATTGGCATATTTATATCAACTATAAGTTTAGACATTTTCAAAGCATAGTTTAATGTAAAGTATATTCAAAACGTGTACCCAGAACAACTTGTTAAATCTGACCAATTCAAACAGTGATACTTAGTATATTAAGCTTAAATATGCAAACATACTCTTTGCCTAACTTTCCACTTGCACATCCAGCGATAAATGAAGATGGAGAGTCAAGACTGCTAACCTACTCTGTCAGAGACAGTGGAACCATTTCCACAGTACAACAATCTGCAATTCAACAACTATCTATAATTCAACTCAAGTTCAGTTCTTTACTGATCAGTTGGAGCATCATTTTGTTTGTTTAGTCATGATAATGATCAAACCAAGACAACATTCAAGTTCATTGTTTCCTTATAATTAGGTGGCAAGAATCAAATAAGGTACCCAATTCTAATAATTCATATTTGGAAGCATTTATGAAGATCCATGTCCTCTTAGAAGTCCATAATGTTGGGAAAAGTGGAACAAAAAAGTACAACCAGCAGCAAAGTGGACTCAAACACAACAATAACAGATGGATTGGTAGGAGGACTAAAAATCCAGGCTAGAAACAGATAACCCTTCAGAATAGTAATAGTAGTAGTAGTAGTAGTAGTAGTAGTAGTATATATATATTAGTAATAGCATTAAAAATGTGAACCCTGGGTATATCCATATTTGAAATAAGAGTGAACACCAGGGAAGTTAAAACTATAAAAAGTTCAAGTAAAAGTTTGGCGTTTCTTAATTAAACTTTTTATAGTTTTAACTTCCCTGGTGTTCACTCTTATTTCATATATATATATACATAGTGAAAACTGAAGGAATCAAGATGCACCACGAAAATAACATTAAGATGGGTATCCTTTAAGCTGACAACATCAAGCACACTGAAGTCAAGAAAAAGATTAGAGGTGAATACATCAAGAGAGTGAAGAAGATCTTAAAGTCTAAACTCAATGGAGGAAATACCATAAAGGCAATCAACACCTGGGCAATTCCAGCTATTAGATATACAGCAGGAATGGTGGACTGGATTCAAGCAGAACTAAAAGCAATGGATAGGAAGACCAGAAAAATAATGACAATGAATCATGCCCTTCATCCACACAGTGACATTGACAGACTTTATCTACCAAAGCAAATAGGTGGACGTGGAATGCTACAAGTACATCAGATGGTTGAAGAAGAAAAAATGGCTTTGGAAGAATATCTGAAGAACAATGATGAAGATGCACTGAAATTAGTATATCAGGAAGGCTTACTGACTACTGGAGAGACCAAACTGGCCTACAAGAAAGACCAAATGAAGAACAGAATAGAGTCATGGGAAGACAAACCAATACATGGCCAGTACATTAAAACAAATAGCTGGGAAAGCAGATAATAACAAGACCTGGCAATGGCTAAAAGCAGGAAAATTGAAGAAAGAGACTGAAGGACTAATTCTAGCTGCACAAGACCAAGCCTTAAGGACAAATGCATATAAAGTCAAAATTGAGAAGACAGCAACAGACAGTAAGTGCTGCCTAAGCAAAGAAGCTGAAGAAAGAGTAAACCACCTGGTAAGCTGCTGCAAGAAGATCGCACAGACTGACTACAAGCACCGGCATGACAAAGTACAACAATGGTGCATTGGAAGATCTGCAAGAAATATCATTTGCCTGTAAGCAAGAACTGGTGGAATCATAAAATAGAGAAAGTCATAGAAAATGATAAAATTAAACTGCTCTGGGACTTCAGAATTCAAACAGACAAGCACCTGCAACATAACACCCTGGACTTAATAATTGTCTATAAGAAAGACAAAAAAGTCTGGATAGTGGCTGTGGCAGTGCCTGGAGACAGCAGAATAGATGAGAAAGAACTGGAGAAGTTAATAAAATACAAAGACCTACATAGAAATAGAAAGACTGTGGCAAAAGCAAGCAAGGGTAGTACCAATAGTAATAGGTGCCTTGGGTGCAATCCCAAAACAACTGGAGCACCACTTGAACACCATTGGCATTGACAAATGTGCCATTAGTCAATTGCAAAAGGTGGCCTTACTAGGAACTGCTTCCATCCTGCGACGATATCTATAATACCATCAAATATCCACATCTGCCTATCCCTGGTCCTTGGTAAGGACTTGATAGGTAGACAAAATGCCAAATCCTGTCTGATCATCTGGCTGACTGTGCGATGATCCATAATAATGATAATGATAACTAGTAGTAATAGTAGTAGTAGTAGTAGTAGTTGGGAGGGACCTTGGAGGTCATCTAGTCCAACTCCCTGCTCAGGCAGGAAACCCTATACCATTTCAGACAAATCTCTTCTTAAAAACTTCCAGTGTTGGATCATTCACAACTTCCAGAGGCAGGTTGTTCCACTGATTAAATTTTCCAACTGTCAGGAAATTTCTCCTTAGTTCTAGGTTGCTTTTCTCTTTGGTTAGTTTCCATCCATTGCTTCTTGTCCTGCCTTGAGGTGCTTTGGAGAATAGCTTGACTCCCTCTTCTTTGTGGCAACCCCTAAGATATTGGAACACTGCTATCAAGGAACATCCTGCAGATGTTATGTCATGTAATTGCCTATTGTTGACACCAACTTGATAGCAATAAAGTAATCAGGGTGGATAGGATGCAGGATCAGATTTCTTGACATGTGAGTGTTATTCCAGGTTGTTGGAAAAGCTATGTTCCAGTTGTGGTAAACAAAGTGCAGTAAGTTTAATAATGCTACTTCCAGATGCTGGTGGAACCCAATGTTCTCATATTAGACATAAACTTATTTGTTGCATGTACTGAATAGAAACACAGAGACCTACTTGGTTTTGCTTTGGATTCTATTAGACTGTGCAGTTAAGCATGAAATGGCACTTTCTGACACCTTTAGTTCAAATGTGACTTGCATGAAATAGTTTCTGTGCTAGTGTGTGCATATGCATACATTGCTGATAAGTGTCAGAGTTAGCAAAGGGAATGTTGTCAGAGAATAAATGAATTAACCTGCATAAGAGGGATCAAATAATTCCCTTCTTTAGGTACAATAGGATATATTGCATGGTAGAAGCATTTTGTAATCAGCAAGAACTTTGGAAATATTGGCTTTTCCTTAAAGAGAAAAACAATACAAATAGCATTAGAAACTTAGGACTAATTTCAGAGAATCCAGAGAAATCCAAATGATATAAGCTTACCCAATTGGTGCCCCCCACAGATGTGCTGAAATTGCAAATCAATTCCAAAAGTTCCCAATTATTATGAAATATATGAAGGCTGATATAAATTTATATAATAGAAAATAAGCAACTTGAAATAATAAATCCAGTATAGGTTCCTTTCACGTTTTCCTCTCTAAAATGTTAAGACAGTCTGAATATGACCCACAGTTATCTTCACCACACTTCTTAACCACAATGAGAACAAAGAACAAACTGCAGCAGGTCCTGCATTATCAGCCATAATATACACACAAACAAAAACACACAACCACACACCTCAACCCATTTTACATGAAAGAGAAAGTAAATTACTTCCTTCAGCTTGCATTTATTTTTTTGTCTGTCTGGAAAAGAAAAATCCAAGCATTTCCTAGAGTTTCCTTAAATCATGAAACTACTTTTCCACAAACTTCACAGAAAGTTTGTAACAACTTCAGGCATACCAAAGTGAACTGGAAATTCAGTTATACTAGGCTGTGAAACTGTAAAAAGGACACGTGATCTCAGGGGAATTGAACAAGACCTTGATGTGGAACTGTCCATGGATCGGGATTGGTTTCCTTGATCTACTCAACTGCAGTTTATTATGCTAAACCTGGTTTTCCTATAGAAGTGAAGAGCTCAATAGCATTTGGGATGGGACATTATCTCCTTCAAAGTTCGATCACTTTGACCCTTGCCCTCTCTCTCCATCCTGCACAATTAATTTAGATTAACATTTCTTTACTCTTTTGAACTGTGCAAACAGATGGGATTTTTGCGTCTTGCAGATTTTGTAGCTCCTTCTATTCTTCCTTCCTTCCCTCCTTCCTTCCTCCCTCCCAAGGTTGGGAGATAGGCATGGCACTCGGAAGATGCTTTTTTCCCCCACTTTCCTATTGGTCAGTGACAGAATGCATAGATTGCCTTGAATGTTGATCATTTTAATTTTAAGGTAAACAATAATAAAAACAATTGTGTATCAGCTTGAAATTGCTTACAAGGATAAGGAAAGGTATGATTTAAATGAATCTTCCCAAAATTTTTAAAATTTAATGACACAGTGATCAATAGACAACTAAGAAAGACAAAAACATTACCAGAAACTACACACACAAACAAAGAAAAAACACTTGGTGTTAGGGTTAGGTCAGCATGAACTCAAACAATTGGACATTGCCAAAAAATTTGGACTGCTTAGGTATGGTTAAGAGTGCACTGATTTTTCTAGGCTCCCCTATCTACGTTTCCTGATAAAATGCCTGGGAAAATCCCATTCAAGTAAAATTCCAATTAAGTTAGGGTTAACTC